CAAGGAGGAACAGGATGAGCACTCCAGAACTACAAAATTATCTTTAGCAGGTCACTAATGGCCCCTGTGTTTTTCACAGATGACAGCAGGTTCACCCTGAGTACATGTGACAGATGCAAAGGGGTTTGGAGAATGATACTACCTGTAACATAATTCGGCACGACTGGTTTGGTGGTCAGTGAGTGACGGTCAGGGGAGGCATATCTTCACAGACCTCTACAGGCTAGGCAACGGAACCCTGAATGCCATCAGATATCAGGATGAAATCACTGGACCCAGTGTCAGACCCCACACTGATACAGTGGGTCATGGATTCCGCCTGGTGCAACACAATGCCCAGCCTCATGGGGTGAGAGTATGGAGGCTGGAGGACGAAGGAATTTATACCACTGACTGGCCCCTCTGCTCAACTAAATCCAATAGAGCACCTCACCCCAGAGCACTGCCGCATCATTTTTTCACTTTTACTGTGGGAGTGTCTTTGAATTCAGCACTTTGTAGGTTGATAATTTTCATTTCCAACCAACACATTAACAGGTCTATACAGCTAGATATCCAGCATGATTTTTTGACTTCTGCTTGTGTTTTTCAAAAATAAAATCAAAAGAACCCTTCATAAGAAACTCTTTGTGCAGAGAGTTTGTTGCTCACCAACTCCCATCAGCTCTACAGCAAAGCAGGTCTTGCTACTGGGCGAGCTTAGGACAGTCCTCCAGTCCAGGAAGTAGGATGAGACAAGCATTGTTTCACTAGAGGTGTCTGTTTTTATCAGCACAAAGTGCACTGGGTCACACATTGACAGCATGGAGGTCGCATCTGCCATCTTACCACTTTCCCCTGGAATACAAAAATTGTAAAATGATACTCTGTACATAGATGGTTTATTAAGTAATACAATAAGAACAGTATTTGTGAGTGACACAAACAGTGGTGGTTAACACACACCTATACCGTCTCTGTGGATTTCTAACAGGAAGCCCTCCTTGAGGTCAGGTTCACAGGCACAGGGCACTGGCTTTGATCGAAACCTCTGGTTGCGGAAGTGCAGGTAGAGTGTGAAGGTAGAACACACCTGACCAGGTAAGGGATCCGGCTCCTGGAGATGCTCCAAAAAGGCTTTGCCTCCAAGCACCTGGAGATACAGACATCGCCTTGATGGGTCGATATTGGCTGAGAAGAGAAAAGCAGAAGAGGAATAATATTATACAAAACAGTCTATGCATCACATTATTATTTGCTTGGTTTGCAAATAATGTTTCTTACTTTTTTTCAGATGAGTGATATCTTTATCGACAAAGTGAGCAGCAGGTTTTGTAGGCGATCCTGTTTCTGCTTCTGTGCCGGCTTCCTACCACGCCAAAACGACACGACAGAACAGTCAGAAAAGATGGGACAGAACTGACACACTGTATTACAGATATGTTTAATCCATACTGAAGGCAAACTTTGAAAGTAAAACGTAGCTATCAAGGGGATCAATACATTGTAAATGTTCGATTTTTGAATGGATGGAACGAAAAATACTTCTAAAATAAAAACCAATCTGGAAAATAGGTCTGAAACTGCATCCAAAAAGCTGGGCAACCTGAGTAAAGTGAAGATCTTTCATCATATCATCTATGATGCCTCTGCGCTGCAGAGCACGCAGGAAATCTGCCTCAGACAGAGACCGACGTGCAGGACCTTGATCATCCCTCACAGTCTCAGCCAGCACCTCTCGGATCTTCCCATGGATATCCATCTGACAAACAGAAGAACAAAATTCCTTCACCTACTTAAAAAATGTGTTTGTGCTTTCTCAACATCCTCTAAAAACAGTCCTTTCCATTTAAACTCTGACTTTGGGAAGTGTGAATATGAAGGCAAACCCATCAGGAAATGTTTTATATCAGTAGACCTATAAGTACCGTCTATTCCGTGCATTATTGATGCGAAATCTTTTCTCATTCATTACTTTTTTCCATTTACTTTTTTAAAATCAATTTTTCAATCAAATCAGCAATAAATGTACGATCGAAAATATAGGATCGAAATTGGTCTTGTGTGCTGTGTGAATTTGTACTTTATCTGCTTATAGAGGCTTGACAGGTAGCTCATATTGGCTGGAAAACAGCAGCAGTTCCCTACGGTGCTTCAAATAATGCTGTCTAAAGAGATGGTGCAGCCAATCTTACCAACTAGGTGATAATATGAGATTTCTCTGTGATGTGCAAATGCAAGGAAATAGCCATTTGTGACATTAAAAAAATATATATATATTTGCCCACTATAAACAGCTAGCTTCCCCCGTTCATGAAAAATACCCGTGTATTTGTATGCTGCTTAAGGACTTCAGCATTCAACTGTACATTGTGTACAACACGAATTGCCATAAAATCTATATAGTTTTCTCACCTTGAGCAGATGGTTGTGAATGATTTGCTTCAGCTCGGAAGCTTTCTCTGGAGGCAGCGACATTATTGCTATTATTTGTGCTTTTTAGGCTAAGCTAACTAGCCAGGCTTAGACATGGGTAGTGGTAGAAACATTAAATAACGCCGTTTCTTCTTATATGAGCTATAATGGAACCTTGTATGCATTCGCCATTTTTCGCAGAAATTTTCTTTTCTGACAGCAACAACTACCAGTTTAAACAGTGGCGGAAAAGCGAGCGGGAAGGTTTCTCCGCTGATGCCCGACACCATACTCCGGAAAAAATCAATACCTCGACAATTTTGCTCTAAAGTTACAGGATTTGTAAGAATCGACATATAAACCACGATATAAGTATTTTTGGTGGTATATTTATTGTAGTTTTAGTTCATTTTTGCTCACCAATTATTCCCAATTTTATTCAGGGATATTTTTACGTACCCCAATCGCATCACGAATTGCGACGACATGAGAAAGACCCTTGAATTGTAGTTTAAATTATAGCTACTATTTCTTATGTGTAGCTTTTTTGTATGTGGTATCGCTTTCTTACCAAGACAAGACATAAATGGATCAAAGTATGTATATCGTGTATATTCGGTGTGCATAACCTGCTTTGGACAAAGGAATAAACATTTAAATGCAACTTTGTAAGATTAAACGACCCGTACGTTTCTAAGTACTTATAATTATCCCAGTAGGGAGCAAAATCTCTGTAAAAAAAAATCAATCAAATTAAATGTTTTAAGAAAAGTAAACTTATGGTGAATATGGTTGCATTATTTCTTGACCTATTGTTTAAATTCTGTTAATGAGTAGAGAGTGTCACTCGGGAGGGGGCTTCAATGGATGAAGAAAGGTGAAGAAAACATGTACAAAGAGGAGTTGGGTCTGTAAGGTTTTAAGTTGTATGTGAGACTGAATACTCATGGATGACAAAATGACCGATTGGCTAGGCAGAGAGATCGAGCTGGGAAGCATGTGTAGCAGGTTAGAGTGATTCAAGACAGATTTAGAAATATGCTAACAAGTGAAGAAATGGAGTTGAGAAGACTGAAGGAGTACTTTGAGGAGCAAATGAATGAAGAAAATGAGAGAGAAAGGAGGATGGATGGAGGACAGTGAATCAGGAAGAGCCAAGGATTGGTAAGGAGGATGGGAGGGCAGCTATAAGGGGATGCAGAGTGGAAAGGCAGTTGGTCCAGACACCATACCTGTGGAGGTATGGAGATGTCTAGGAGAAAGTGGACTTTTTAACCAGATTGTTTAACACAAGAACACGGGTGGGGAAGAACAAGGGTGATGTGCAGAGCTGTAGTAACTACAGAGGGATAAAGCTGATGGGGCCATTACCATGAAGATATGGGAAAGAGTTGCTGAAGCTAAGTTAATATAGGTGATGATCAGTGAGCATCAGTATGGCCTCATGCAGGGAAAGAGCACTATAGATGTGATGAATGATTACTCTTAAACGTAATTAAGAGTAATCATTGAGAAGTATAGAGGTCAGGAGCTTCACTGTGCCTTTGTGGATCCAGAGAAACAGCGTCAAGAGAGGAACTGTGGTACTGTATGAGGAAGTCAAGAGGGCCAGAGAAGTGTGTGTGTAGTGCAGGACATGTATGAGGACAATGAGACAGTGGTGATGCATGCAGTAGGAGTTACAAACGATCAAGGATCTGCTCTGTGCCCCTTCTTGTTTGCAGTGGCGATAGGCATATATTGACAGTTGAGGTCAGGCAGGAGTCTACACGGATTATGTTTGCAGATGACACTGATCTGTAGTGTGATTGGGAAGCAGGTGGACCAGAGCCCATAGAGGTAGTGGTATGCACTGTAGAGGATTAAAGTCAGCAAGAGTAACACAAAATACAAGTGTGAATGAGAGGGAAACAGGTGGAAAGATGACCGTACCGTAGTAGAGTGAAAATACAGTGCAGAAGAGAGGTGAGGAACAGAGTGCAGGCAGGGTAGAAGATAAATGTCATCAGGGGTGAAAGGACAGCAACAAAACTGAAAGTGAGGTTTACATATCGTCTCTTTGAGATGGTGACACAGACAAAAAGGAAGCTAGAGCGGAAGATCTCCGAGGAGGTTCATGGGTGTACGGAAGGAGGCGATGCAGAGGACTGGTGTGACAGAGCAGGATGCTAGACGGTGTGAGACGGACGCAGATGATTCGCTGTGGCGACCTCTAAAACGCCCAGAATTAGGAGGAGCTGTACGATATAACGACAAAAGAGATCAAGCCAACATCATATAGACAAGCTGAAAGAAGTGCAAAGGCACAAAATACATTCAACACAAACCACACACAGTCCCAGACAAGAGAAAATGAAATTACTACAGCAGTCAATGTGAGCATGGCCTCTTCTTGAAATATTGAATCAATTCCTGGAATCCACAGTGAGAGGTCTCCAGTCTGTCTGCATTGATTTAGCTCATGGTCAGAATGAAATTATGAGTAACAGCACAGAAAGTGGGTGGGGTGGGAAGAGCTGTGGGTAAGCTGCTTTACGGATACAGAATTAAAGAACAGGCAAGCAAATTTTTGTTTATAAAAAAAAGAAAAAGAAAAAAAAAGAATATTTTATTTTTTATGAAGTATTTAATGTTTTTGTTGTGGTTTTGTCATTTTTCTCATCAAAAGTCTTCTGTCATGTTCCACACTGCAGCTCAACAGTGTACAAAACTCCCCTGAAAACTGTACACAGAAAACAAATGAATGGAATGTTACACTATATTATTGTTAAATAAGAAAATAACAATAATAATAAAATAAAAGCCATGTTCTACTGTAGCCAATCAAAAATTTCACTTCAGGAGTCAATACATGCAAATGACACATTCAATGTTCAATCAACTCAGACGCATGTTACTGTACACCACCTCTAATCTGGTCATTGCAGTGCAAACATGTTACTCACATTACGTGCGACACGACAATTTTCTGTACTGATCGCACATACCAAAAAAAAAAAAAAACATTCTGGGAGCGCACTTTTTTTTCCTCCTTTCTGTATTTAACACATTTCAAGGCACATTAAAAGCTTTTTCAACCACCCCACAAGGACATCGCTCTCTTCTAAATTTAATCCAAGGTGCTCTCCTTCAGCTTCTAAATTGCACTATTGTAGCTTTGGATTGGTCCCAGTCAATTGAAAACCGAATCGGCAATCATGTGGGTTCAAAACACGGACAGAATGTAGAACGGTACTAGCATCATTTTGTAATACAGGTGTCAGTTATGACAGAGAGATTCAACAGAATATACATTCGACATGAGGGGAGTATGCGAGGGTTCATCATCAGGAGCTTGTCTGACTGTTATCTTCCTAAAAACAGGCTTTGGTTTCTTAAAATAAACAACAACAAAAAACAAAAACAGCGTGATCACCTGAACAAACACAGACCAACCCATCCAGTGGGTAAATAACTTGCTAAGGGGCAACGTTTATGATCCATGTGGCAGCTAACAAAGGCAGGCAAAAAAAAAAAAAAAAAAAAAAAAAAAGTGTGCACATAACAGAAAATAACCACTCTAGCCGAGTCTGAAACATTGGCAAGGAAGTGTCCACTCACACAAAAATATTCTTCTGGCCGTGTTGAGATGCCCTGCTAAATGTGAATGGAAGAACAAGTGGTGGTCTGGAAAACCGCAGAATGCATGCATTTCATTATATTACATTAAAACTAAAGAAAAGTAAAATCCTACAGCTGAATCTTGGCTCTGGAGTTTTCCTACAAGTCTACAGTAGGATGAACAAGTCAACACAAGTCATTCTGAAATGCAAAATGTAAAACGTGTTGATCGACACATATCTGACTATTACAAACAAAGAATGTAAAAATAAACCTGTCACTATATATTTCTCTTTGTACTGCACCTTTAGTAAGTTTCTGCAAAGCCATTTTTGCTATGATACAGTACATTCATGAGCAGTGACAAGAAGGAAAGGAAATTAAATCATCGTGCTGGCACCGAGATCCTGAGATGTTACTATTTTTTTGTTTCGATCTTACATGAAAAATATACAGACGCTCGTTTGATCTAGCGCTCCCGCATTTTGACCTTGAGAAATAAATACCCTCAATTCTGCACATATTACTGTCTAAGTCTACGTCGAGAAGAAGTACCTAATCTCAGGTACCGGTGCAAAATAAGAGTCCGATTTAAGTGACCCGCAGTGCTTCACTGGGAATACATCCAGTACAGCAGGCTTATGGCCAAGACAGCCCCGGCGCCGGCGCCGACATTGAACAGGATGGGTCTCCAGTACTGCCACTTCTCCTGTTTCCTCTCAGACTCTGTCAGTCTCTGTTTCATTTGTTGGACCCTCTGTGCTGTGCTGGCAATCCTTTCCTCACGGTGTCGCTTTCGGACCCTGAAATAAGACAGAGAGTACAGCAGTCCAACAATAAACAACAGGGTAATACTCACTTTAATCCCCACAAATTGTGTCACTGCTGTACCAAAGCTTTACTACAAAGATGAACAAATAAAAGGGTGAAACCTGATTTCTTTCTTTTCTATGTGCTCAAAAAGATAAACTGAATCTCAGCGCATGGATGGGAACAAGTCAGCAGATTTCAACGCTTAATTTTTAATCTGCCAAACTTCAGTTCTGTTACTTACTGCCCAGAATTGTCTGCCTTATTGTGATCTTGGGCATCTGGCTCTCCTGCAAGCCTGTCTCCTGAGGGGGCCTGAGACTCTAGGTGGGGTCCGTTGGGTCTGCTGTCGTTAAGGTGAGGTCTAGGTGGAGGTGGTGGAGGGGGTAGATCTGGCTCCAGGTCATCTCTGGACAGCTGTGTCAGCTTGTTCTAACAAAGAGGATGACATGCAGAGACAACCAAGAAGGAAAATTTCAGTGTACTGTCAGCTTATGACAGAGAGGAAGAGAATAGTGATCCTTTTCCAAAATAAAAGCTTAAATTCCTGATTTTTAAATATGTTGGCTCACATTCTCATCATTTAGTTTGCAAGTGGCAAAACTAAAATTCTGGTAAAGAAAGGGCACCTGCAAGACGCAAATGATCAAAGAGCGTCTGTATAGTCATTACATAACAAGTGTGAGGATCTAGTTAGTTTGTCAAGTGAGTCGGCCATTATTTTGACAGTTACCTTATAAATTAAAGAGGCCCTATTCATTGTTATGGGAAAGCACCCACACACACCACTTTAATTAGACACTTTCTGATGGCTCTGAAGAAAAACTCCAAAAAAATGAAATGGAATTAGGAAGTTTGTAACATTTAAAATTACTGCTGGCAGGGCTTGAAACTCTGGTAATCACTTCATTTTATTGTGAGGTTGTGTTTTATACGGTCTGCGTCAAAGGCAATTTTGTGTTGATGCAGCAAGAGAACATTTAGACAGGATTTTTGCAGGTTTCAGCATGTACAGTTGAAAACTTAAGACTTTAATGCCTTAAAGAATGCAATTCAAGACCCGTTTCCAAGCTAACCAGACCGTGAAAGGATGGTAGAAAACCAAGAGAGCCCACATGTCACCTTAAACTTTACTATTATGTTTATTTTCACTTCTCTGGAGTAAAACAGAATGATTCTAATATACTTGTATACAAGCCAATGTTTCTCAACGTAAGTGCTGCATATCATTTAAAATTTCTCATTTCCCTTTAATGCTTTCAAATGATTAGCTTCACTTTCCCAGAAAATGTCAAAGAAACATTCAAAAATCAGTCATCGCCACCTCTTTTAGCGTCTGATGCCGGCTTTTGAGCGAAACTGAAAGCAAAACTTGAAACCACAACAATGCCTCCGTCTTTTATTGGAGTAACACTGCTCTTCGGGTGGTTACTGAAAGTCAGATAACAAATTACAAAAGCTTATTTAGAACCAGACTTACAAGCTTTCAATCATTCTTGTGACTACCTGTGTTTCTGAGTTGTCTGTCAGGATGAGCTTGGCTCCCTCAATGACAGCCATGTATGAAAAGCGGAGCTGGTCAGGGGTCTGGATCAGGCCCATGCGGTATTCCCTCATGCCAAGTAGCACCTTTTGTATGTCCATTGATGACCGGTTTTTCCTCTTCTCCATCTGCAAAAACAGATTTTCCCATTTATGGAATAACCGCTTAATAGAGAATCACATCAGGTGCACAGGATATCACACCTTTGTTTTCCTTTAGGAAGTCATGAGCTGTAATATTGAGAAGTTTCAAAAGATGTATTACATTTGAGAAAAATCGAGGTAATCTGTGAGAGAGTGGTTTGATTTAAGGTGCATGTCCAAACAACTTACCAACCTGTCTCAGAGTCTAATGCTGCTTAAGATGTGAGTGCTGGGAAGAAATATGTTTTAGCTGTTCCAAATCGTAACTCATAAACTGCGTATTTAACAGGTGAGTTAAATACACAGCAGAGCAAAACTATGTGTACAAAATCTGTTTTTATTTATGGGAGCTTTTACCATGTACATTAACTAGCAGAAATTTCAGGCTCTTTAAACCTGTGCTTTCCAGCTGACTAGGAAGTGAGAACAGAAAGAGTTCCCACTAGAATTCACTTGTTTTTTTGTGCGTTGTGTCTCCTACATTGTAACAGCTTTACACTTTAGGGTTTCTAATTAATATCTGACATAGAATAAATGTGATAATTTCCTAACGTACAATGGGTATATAAAAAGCCTGTATAGAATGGTCAATTTGACCAGTAAAAATATCGCAAGCAGGGACAGATTCACTTTCCTCTGGCATGATTCTATCCGCAGTATGAAGGTGTTGATGGTAACATGGCACTGAGGTGTGCACAGGTCACCCATACTTTCTAAATGTTCAGGAACCTTTGAGGTGGGGCTCGGAGCATTGAAAGCTGATTGATGTTTTCTTACAGCACCATTGTTGTACAACTTTTAAAAGCCACAAGAGCAAAGAGGCTGTTTTTGCTTGTTGCTTTATTAGGAAGGAGCGGGACGAAACATCTGACAGATAGCCTTGTTTGTTTATGCACAGGGTGACATTCAAAGGTTATTTGAGGTGATGGGCCAGAAGACTAATTTTTTTAAAATTTTCTATTTGGGGTTTAAAAAGCAGGGCAAGGCTCTGAAGGAATTCTTGCTCAAGTTTCCAAAACCTATCCCAAAACCAGCCCCCATAAAACTTTTCTCCAGAAGGCTGAAGGTGTTGAATTTGAAGCAGGAGCTACTTTCATGAGCAGCATCCTCTTAGTCCATGATTCCTTAAACTGACTTCACTGTGGATAGTGATGCTGGTGTTCCAGCAATTTCCAGTTCATGGCAGTTCTTGGAAAAGTTGTGACAAATCCAAGCAACTTGATCTTACATATAACTGTTTGAACCGATAATCTTAAAATTGGCAATTTTTTGGCTCAAAAGGACCTTCCCAATTTGTCTAAATCTACAATTCTCCTTCTTAGAGCTGTACTGAGTTCCCCTAAATTTCCCATTGTTCTGGTCAGTCCAATGAGTGCTGCCAAACAAATCATTTTAATCACCCCAAAGAGAAACTGCCAGTTGTCTGCAATCCTGATCACTAAGAAGAAGTCTATAACCCTTGGCCTTGTAGAGTTTAAACATATTACAGAATCTTTAGGACTAGTAGATGTGCGTATGAATACCTTTGACCCTATGCAGATTAGAGAATTCTTCCATGTCTTAATACAATACTGTAATCCTGGTAACTCTATGTGCATTCTAGCCACCTTTCTTTCTCCTTGCTCCTTTTAGGCTAGACTTTATTAATATAGCACTTATCCAGTCTTACTGACCAAAGCACTTAAAAGTGCATATACATTCATGCAGCACTTTTAATATTGCACTACTGCACAGGGCTTTTCCTATCACACTCACACATCACGGATTTGTAGTGGTGTTGCTTTCTGCTTGTGTTAGTTTATCATTCTGGGCTGACTTATGAAGGTGATAATGCCCTGCAGGTGATAACCTGCTTGTCCATCTTTAGGTAATTGAAATCAGATAATGGACAGACATCCTGCATATGCTGAGTTTGATTCATAGAAGACGCTGAAGATCTCCTTCTGATCAACCCACTACTTACTTTTGGTGTAGTGTTGAACAATAATGAAAGACCTACAGCACTTAAGGTCTGGTTAACCTAACAGCTGGCCAAAAAAAAAAAAAAAAAAAAAAAAATCATTTTAACAAGGCCGACAGACAAGTCAAACAGCCACAGGAAATTTGCAAAACTTTCTAGTGAAATAAGATTCATCTTTTTTTTTGCTTTTAGAGCTTTAAAACTCATCAAGACATGATAAGAATTGGGAATTTAGTTCCATATAGTTGCAGACACATGTGGAATTGTGGTAATTTAGGAGTTATTCCTGAGAAACCTGATTTCCCAAGAAATAATCAGTTAAGGGCCTCTTCTCTGCTCCAGTTAAAATATTCCAGACTTTACACACTCACGCTGAATACCTACACGTCAACACTGCTCTGTAAGCACGTTATCAGCACACAAGTACAATCAGAGCATGAACGCCTCATCTTACCATCATCAGACTGTAGTCATTGTAATGAGAACCTCTTGCGAAAGAATTCTCTTTAACAGTGGCAGACTTTCAGTGACATTTCCCCACTCCCCTTCTCACCAAAACTAGACAGGTATCCACCAAGGCAAAGGTCCCTGAGCGACCAATCCCAGCGCTGCAGTGCACCACTGAGGGCCCATGCTCCGGGTCCAGCGAGCCAGACTCCCGAACCTTGAAGAGGAAGTTGAGGAAGGAGGCAGGGGATTCTGGAACACCGAAGTCAGGCCATGTGGTGTAGTGAAAGTGATAGATCTCTCTCGACTCCTCTGTCTGTGGTAGGCATAATGTTTGGTCAAGACTGGAGCATTGTATAGACACAGTTCTGCATGACTTAGCTGATTTGTCACTAGGAAAACATTACACACTCTGGAATCACAGTCTTTTTTCAGCTACATGCTATTATACTTAAATGGTAAGAGACTGGTTAAGCAGTGCTTAAAACCATGCTGAAACTCAAGAGAGATGCTATTAACCAATAGGCACCCTTGCATACTCACCTTTGTATTTTGTAGTTCCAGCAATCTGATTGTGAAATAGGATTGGTCCTCCTCTGACAGTAGCCTCACAACAAACCCTGTGTCTGTGAAAGACATCTGTAGCTCCTCGGTGGTAGGCCAGTATTGCGCGCACTTTTCCTGTTGAGACAAATACATTCAGTTACTCATGGATAGGCTGTCATGTGCCTCGAGCCATTTGAAGAACTTCTGACTTAAATACTGAGAACAGTTGCACATATGTACACCATTCCTCGGATTCGGAAAATCAACCGTGTGCAAAGAGAACAACTAATTACGTTCTTGTACACCGAAGTACCTGACAGCTTGTTTCCAGTTTCCATTGGTTGTTCTTGGCACCAAGGCCATGATAGTTAGCTACACTAAACTCAACTAAAAACCAAAGTGTGGAGAGAGAGAGAGAGAGAAAACAACTCTTTACTGAAACTTTAAAAAAAAAAAAAAAAAAAAAAAAAAAAAAAAAAGACAATGAAACACACAACAATAAAACCTCACTGAAAATGAAACCTTTTTAGAGAGTAAAACCTAAACTGAAATATGAAAACCAAATACAAGTGAAACGAAAAATCAAAAAACACATTCAAAACTAAATGCAAAAAGAAACTAAGTAATCATTAACTTTCCTGGAACTGTGGTTAAAGTTTCAAATAAATGGAAACAACAGAACTGAAACTTTACATACAGTACAACTTAAAACATGACCACAGAGCTTAAGACAATCTTGTGAAACACAGAGTTCTGATGAAGTATAACACCACAAAGGAAGAAAAAGACATTTTAAACTAGACTTTTTTTTTTTAAATGTAAGGAAATTCATTTTTTCCATTGTCAAGTAAAGGAATTTGAGTCATGATAGCTGCCCAAAATATCTCAATTAGGCTTTGATCCATAACGAATTTAAACATGTGCAGCTCTTCAGTATCTCAATTCATTTTTTCAAAATTGTGGCATTCTTTGCATCTCAATCTGTCTGTCAGCATGGTTACACCTACCACGGTGAATTTCATGAAACGTGGTGAAGAGATGGCACATGCATGAAAAACAAGCCAATTAAATTTTATAGTAGATCTGATCATCTTTTTGAAAACTCCAAAACAGGGCTGAAATCCTTTCTAGTCTACCAGATAAAAGTGGGTACACTAGAAAGAAAACACAATAAAACGTATCTTGGATTCTATTTCATCTTGTAAAATGCACAGAATTTTAGCATCAGTGGAAATAGGAATGACAAAGACAATTGATCTCAAACCTTTTGGGATGAGCAAATGTATCTACATCTATTAATAAAGATATGTCTCCTCAAACTTTCAAACCTAAACAGCAGGGGGACTTCAGAACATAATAATTAGAAGGTGTTGCAGTGTACTCACAGATCCTTTTTCAATCACTCTGTTGAGCATTATAACAGCTTTGCAACTCTGTTCCCAAATCATCAGCCAGAAATGGCCGCATGTATTCCTCAAGGGGCCCTGTCAAAGCAAAAGTAGAAAATCCACATAAACAAATAACATCCAGAGATCATGAACAACTACCAAAATGCCAAACTCAAATCCTGTGTATTTTCCTTTGAGTGGCACGCAGATGTGTTCAACAGATATCCGTGCAGACAGTTCAGTGTACACTGCTTGTCCTACAATCTACATACCTGAGAAAGAATGTAAGCTCTTTGGGCTTCTTCCACATCGACTAAACTTGCATTGATGTAGTCATTTTCAGAGTTTTCAAGTTTTACCCGACTGTGATCGTCTGAAACCAAGCAAGAGATCACAGAGCAATTATGACGACGTCATTCTCGGCAGCACATATCGTCACTGAGAGCCTTAACTGTCGTAACACTCACATGGGCTGACATCTCTGTAGCGGTTCAGATTCCGATTCACTGGAAGCTTTGCCACTTTGTAGGAATATTCACTGGCTTGGTTACGGATCTCCTGTTGCAGATGAGAAACCAAACAGGAACTCAGAAGGATCGCTTTGACAGCGACAGGAAACTGTGACACAACCTGTTCAATTCATGTGCATCCAGTTTTACTGGAGTGGTGACCAGTAATGACATTAAAAGAAAAACCATACAGAGATCAAAGGTCCTCAATCCTTTGTACTCAATTAATCACAACTGGTCTGCTTTGTTTTCATTGTCATTTGTCAAACTTAATCTACTGCAATGCCTCAGGCTGTTGTTTTCCTTTTACAACACAGTCTGCATGGGCAAGGCCAAAGGGCGAGCACAGTTCTATTATTATTTCATTCTGGGGAACAGAAGCAGTTTTACTGGAGACAAGAAAAGAATAAAAGAGAATAAAAATTATTTTTGACACTCCCAAGAATACTGTCGTGAGCAGGGGCGTGTCCCCTCACTGCCACTGAGCTACAGCACCATGGATAAGACTAGTGGCAAAAGTAATTTTTAGTGGTACACAAAGTACAGTTTCAGTGCATAGATGTACTAAGACATGATGCTGTATTCTTGGTCTGCATATTTGACTTCCTTAAACCTCCCCATTTATTCAAGCTTGGGACTTGTATTAGAAATGAACTGAGAGATAAACCAATAACATATGGAACTGAAAAGCACCATTATGTACAATGAGCACTATTGGTTTAAATATATTATCATGCTAACGACATTATCCTTAAAATGGGTAAGAAATTAAATTAAGTATTAGTATTCTCATTTCTGTTTAATCCCACTTTAATTCTCAGTAGGACTGGGAGCCTGACGTTAGCATGGAAGAAATTTGATCTTTTATGAAATTACTTATCATGCACTTTTTATATATACCCCCCCCCCCCGCTCCCTGTCAAAAAAAGTTTTAAAGGGGTTTTTTAAAAACATTTTCTAAAAATGTATAAAGTGTGCACGTTCATTTCTTCTTAATTTATTAACACTGATGTGTAAAAACAAAACAAAAACAGTTCTAGTTACATGGTATCTTTGTAGTTCGCAGCTGCACATTACAGGGTCATAGCCAAAGTTTAACCGGAACAGAGATATTATAAACGAAATGCTGTGCTGCGTGGTAAAACACAACACGCTTTTCTGTGGAAGTCCTGATGAGTTCTCAGAAACTGCGGCTGACGTCTGCTAGCGTCAGCCAGCATTAGCTAACCGAAGTGAAGATCGAGCCGATGCACGTTTTCCAGCTACGGAAGTCAGCTAGCGCGAAATGCTAGTTACTCATTCGTCTTTACCAATTGCACTCCAATATGTATAAAGAACCTGGAAGTCATGTCGCGAAGTGTAGAAATTTACACAATTAAAAGCGTGGACGAAAAGTGACCAAAATCTCTAAGTGGTGTCTAACTTGATAGCTATCAAATTAGCTAGCTAAGTTAGTTAGCAACCGATCGTCATAGAAACAAGAGAGGCCCGGTCAGTGTCCCGACTTACATTGTAAAGGTTTTGCCATCTCCCCGACGAATCAATGTCTTGAAATTCTTGCTCCATTGTGTTGTAGTTAGTGAACCCAGACACTTGCCGGAATAATCTCAGAGTGTTTTCAGCACCGTTCACCAACTTACTCCTTTCTGTCAGCCATCTAAACAGCGGTGTGTGTAACCCTAGGAATCCCTGCGGGGAGTCTGCTGCTCCGGCACAATACTGCTTGCTTGCTGCCTGCCTGCACGTTGACTGACCCGGGTTGCCAGATATGCGTTCATCACGGCCTTCCGCAAACACACACACACACACACACACACACACACACACACACACACACACACACACACACACACACAAACAAATCCTCTGGACACTAAACTACAAAAATCTGATATTAACATTAATATAAAATAAAAAACACAAGAAAGGATACTGACACTTAGCTCAGTGTTCTATTCAGCAAATAAACAAAACAAAAAAACAAGGTATATTGCAGTATTTCAATGAATGCATTAATTTAATTAATTAATGCAATAATCTTATTGAACCCATAAAAGTTCTTTCACAATAAATCTACTGAATGTTTTAAGTACTATTATTTTTTTGCCTTTACAAAATTCATTTGCACAAATCTGTTTAAATATTGTTACTTGAAATTAACTTTTAGTAATAAAGTTAGCGAAGAAAAAAAACTGTCAGTTGGATCAAACCTGGCAACCGCGCAAGAGGTAACTTTGACAGTATATTACATACTATATTTATTTTGGCAGTTGTGTATTAATAAACCTATTAATCTGTCTGTTCAAAGTAACTCTGGCTGTAGCACTTTTTCACCGAATAACTTTCGTTATATTTTATCTTCTTATAAAGAACCCCAAAGTCGCATTGAGCTGCTTAAAATTTGTGTGCATGCGCCGCCGTGTGGTCAATAGCTTGTACTACACACAATCACATTACCGCCAAATAAACAGCACAAGTAGACACATGACAGGCCTGCCAGCTAATCGTCCCAGCTAGAGCTGCCGGTACATAGTTGTCATCATGTTTGTTGCGCGTAGTATCGCGGCAGATCATAAAGATCTAATTCATGACGTATCGTATGATTTTCACGGCCGGAGGATGGCGACTTGCTCCAGCGACCAAAGTGTCAAGGTGAGCTGTACATCATAGTTTGCTAATGTTAGCATTAGCCGTTATAGCTAGCAGGATAGCCTTGCCCACATTACCGACACTCTCACCTTACATACTGAAATTACTGACTCGTTTTCCTGCAGTCGTTGACAGACGATGAGGTTGTTTGAGAAAACTTCCGCTGGTTCTTACACTCGAGGGAAATTATCTCAGTTTAATATGCTAGTCTGTTAGCTCTGGTGCTTGTAGCACACGAGCTAGGCTGGCCACAGATAAGCTCTATAGCATAGTAGTGTAGTTAAGCACTGCAGTTTTCCGACAGAGCTATCGATGTAGTGTTTATTATGTGACGACATAATAAAGGACGTACATACAAATGTCAGTGCAAAACCGGTGATAATTGTGCACAGACACGTGAGGAGTATTCAAGGTTGTGATTTTATTCCACTCAGGTCTGGGACAAAAGTGAGAACGGAGAGTGGCACTGCACAGCCAGCTGGAAGGTAAACCACCATAATTTCCTTTTCTTTTTTATTTATTACTTTATGTTTGTGTTTTTGAGTATGAACACAGCATGAAATTCAAAGTATCGATGGAGTTAATAGATGAATGCTGTTATGTGCAGACACACAGTGGATCAGTGTGGCGAGTGACCTGGGCGCATCCAGAGTTTGGACAGGTTCTAGCTTCTTGCTCCTTTGACAGAACAGCTGCTGTTTGGGAGGAGATCGTAGGAGAGTCCAATGACAAGCAGAGAGGACTGAGCCACTGGGTTAGTACACTTGCATTACATTTCCCATTTAACATAACTGTTTGTTAGATTTCACCTGAGTGTTTCATGTTGGGCTTTTTTAGATTAAGAGAACCACGCTAGTGGACAGTAGAACGTCAGTGACCGATGTGAAGTTTGCTCCTAAACACATGGGTCTTATGCTGACCACCTGCTCTGCGGATGGGGTGGTGAGGATCTACGAGGCTCCCGATGTGATGAACCTGAGTCAGTGGTCCCTGCAGCATGAGATCTCCTGCAAGCTCAGCTGCAGCTGCATCTCGTGGAACCCCTCCAGGTTAGACTGCCGGTTTACTTTGTGTAAGGAACCAAGATGAGATTCAAATGTAGAGAGCAGCTGTAGTGCTTTTATATTATTTGCTTGCATATGTTAGAACAGCGGTACCCTCGGACCAGTACCAGTCCGTGAGTCGTTTGGTAACGGGCCGTGAGAGTTGAGGCTCAGGTGTTAAATGTATGGTTTTCAGGGTTTTTATCGGTTTTCAGCGTTATTTTGTTATCGTTTTTATCGTTAACTCGGTTTTCCTGGGTCTTTTCGAGTGTGTTATGAATAAATCTTCTTTTTTTCGGTACCGGTACTAGTTTTATTTTGTTGTATTTATCTGCGACACCTTAAAGGCCGGTCCGTGAAAATAATGTTGGGCATAAACCGGTCCGTCGTGCAAAAAAGGTTGGGGACCGCTGTGTTAGAACACATTTTCAGTTATTGTGCTTATGAAATAACACAATTACTACCGCTAATTCTTTCAATAAAACAGCTTACAGCTAAACTTAATGTGACTTATAGACATGCAGGTATGACAACATCATGAATAATGCTATGCAAGTATCACTTGACTTTTTCATGTGTATGTAACACCATGCTGATAACAGTCTGCTGGTGTAACCACGCGTTGTTTCCTACAAACAGCTCACGTGCCCATCCTCCCATGTTTGCTGTGGGGAGTGACGACAGCAACGTAACATACGGTGGGAAGGTTCAGATCTACGAGTACAACGAAAACACACGGTGGGTATTCATTATGAGGTTTCAAGAAGAAAATAAAAGACCGATCTGAATGTTTGAAAATGTTTTGGAAAAATTCTGTAAAGATGAGATGAAAAATACTCAAAGGATAAATTCAAATGGTTTATTATTTAGATAAGTTGAACAAAAAGTTAAGCAAGTAAATGAAGAAACAAGGTAGAGGAGAGAAAACCCCAACAATCGCCTCTGAGCAAGCATTTGGCAACAGTGGGGAGGAAAAACTGCTGTTAAATGGGCAGAAACCTCTGACAGAACCAGGCTCAGGAGGGGACAGTCAACTGCCGGGACTGGTTGGGGGGGGGTTAACAGAGGTGGAGGAAGACGAGGCTACATCAGGTGAGGAAGCAGCAGTGTCCCTCCTACGGAGCAAGTGGAACCATTTTTTTCAGGCACTTTTCCACGAGCGCTTTTTTTCTCCAGGATGAGATTTCTCAACTCATCAATTGTTTCTGTGTTTTGCTTTTCAAGTCTCTCACATCTTTGTTCCACCTCTTCTAATGTTGCTTGTTGTTCTTCAAGCTTGTCTTGGAGTTGTTTGGATGTTGCCTCCTGTATCAGCTTGTCCTTGTGCATGTCTGCATTTCTCTGTTGCACTTCTTTGTGCTTGTCTTCTAACTGCTCGTTTCTTTTCTGGATTTCTTGGAGCGTGAGCTGCAGGTCTTCATGTATTTTGTCTTGTTGTTGTTTTTGTGCCTGCATTTGAGTGTTTTCACGCTTCAAGTTATTATATTCCACCAAAATCCCCTTAACGAGCTCTGAGTTGTTTCTCGCATTTTGCTCGATCCTTTGCTGCATCTGTGAGCAGCGTTTCTCCAGTTTGTCCTTTTCTTCTTCCACTTTAGTTGCTTTGTCCTCCAGCTGATTACAAAACTCTTGCAGTTTTAGATTTTTAGACTCAAAGTCTTGGACGATACGCTTTCCTTCTTTCAGTCTTTCTTGTTGTTGCTCTTTCTGTTGAAGAAGGTCTTTATTTTGGCGCAGTGTTTCATCCAGGCTTTCTTTCAGCATTCGGTATTTTTCCTGCATGCTCTTCAGTTTGTGCTGCATGTCTCTTTGCTTTTTGTCATGCTCTTCCTTCTGTTGGAGGAATTCTTTCTTTTCTTCCACAGCTTCATGGAGCTGTCTTTGGAGGAGCTGATTGCTTCGCTCCATGTATTGGAGATCCCATTGTATCTTATCAGTCATCGTTTTATTGTCTTGGAGCTGGTTGGTCATTTCTTTTAGTTCTGCACTCTTTTGTCTGTTTTCTTTAATGAGGTGCACAATCTGCTCTCGGGTTTGAACAAACTTGATTCCCCAGCCCTCATTAATAATTTTTATGTCCGGCTGGCGCTGTTGTCTGTCTTCCAGCTCTTTACTTTGGGCTTCCATTCGTCTACACTTGTTCTCCAGTTGAAGTTTCTCTTCTTCAATTTGTTGCATTTTTTTCTGGAGAAGGTAGTTTTCATTCCTACTCTCCTCTAACGCCCTTTGGAAGGATGACACGCCATTTGGGGAAATTGGCCGGCCACGCCAGGAAGGAGGGGCGGCGTAATCTTTTTGAATTGGTTGTTCTTTTTCTTGGAAACATGTTGGAGTTTCAATACGATGACTTTGAAAAGCTTTCCAAATGTTTCTGTGGTGAACGTTTGTAGGCTGCAAACACAGATGCTGCTGAAATGAACTAAAACTTGCTGTTTCTCACCCCTACATAAGGAAAAAGGGGTGCTTAACTAGTTAAAAAGAACAAAAAAACAAACAAACATTTGGTGCAGTTTTCTTGTTTTCTGGGTTGTTGTTTATTTACAGTGGAGATGAAGATCTCGAACAAGTTGATTTGTTCACATTTGCACATCTTAATTTTTAAGAGGAATGTGTTTTTTGAGTTTGTGCACTATATGCATGTAAGGCAACCGTTTCCTTTTTCACTATTTTTGTGTGCTGCATTTTTCTCTTTTAACAAAAGGGGGACAAAAGACATTTAAGTCGACCTAAGATGATTTGTTTACATTTTTGCAAGGTCTTACTGAGGTGATGCAAAGTGAAACATGCTTTCTTCTATTTTGGTAATGTGCTGGAAAAGCTTGAAAATTGACCTTGAATTTGACCCTGAAAAATGTGTATGAACCCTGTTATTAGTGATGCACTAACCATTGAATTATGAAGACATACCAAAATAAATGACAGATTTTAATATTTATCTGTTTAAAAGGAAATATGCCAAAGCAGAGACACTCATGACGGTCACTGATGCGGTTCATGACATCGCGTTTGCTCCAAACTTGGGAAGATCTTTCCACGTGCTCGCCATTGCAACAAAAGATGTTCGAATATTTA